ATTGTATATCTAATGTTTATATTTAATATTATTTATGTATGTTTTAAATGCCATATATGGTACTTCTTATATTCGTATATTACGGTGCTTAATTTTTAATGAATTTTTAAAGACAATTTTACGTGTGAGAGAGAGTTTGATTATATATTTTTCTCATAAATTACTTTCTATAGCGCATTGTATGACTGTTTTATCCTGTCTACAAAAATAGAATTTTATGTAAAAATGAGCAATGCACGTCCAACGCATTGCTACAACGTCTCTACAAAATCCTACAACTTCCAGTTGCAATGATTACTTTTAGCAATGTAAGCACGGATTGCAAAAATGGACAACAGCTTCATATTCTATATATACGCTGTGCCAGATTTCAAATAATGTAGATAGTTGGTATACCGAAACCTCGCGTATTCTCTTCACGTTTGAAATATACTAAAAATTCAGATTCACGCGTTTTGATACTTCAAAAATTAATAACTATATCCCTCAAAATAATATATATATAGTATATTTAAATACGACAAAATCCACTTTTAATATTTCACCATCATATAAAAACCGATATCAAAGAGGATTTATGTATAGAAGAAAGGTCTATTTATAATTTAAACATATATCTGGTAAACGTCACAAGCGAAATTCACAGAATATTTTACTGATAAAAACGATTAAATAATATGGGATTATATTATCCTATCTTTTTTTTTAATCTCACTTAACATTTGTGCTCGTGCCAGACCGATCAATGATTCGTTCGAATTTACTGGCGGTACACCGAAATCCGCTTTACCGCAAATTATTCCGGGAGGGATGTTTTTCATGCCAGCGATTCCTCGAGGTCGCGCAAAATTTTTTCGATACGAATTAATGGCGAATCGTCTGAAATCAGGGGAGGGTCGAGTACGAACAGCAAGGATGTGATTTGAGGGCGGACGGGCTTTGAAGGGGATTAAATTGGAACACCGAGTATTCATCATAGCTTACCGAGTGGGGAATATTTGAATAACTTGTAAATCCTCCCCCGAAATGCGAATATGATGGCGCGTTTCGATTTTGAATTCTCTCACGGTTCGTTTTGCTTCCCCTCCATGCCAATGTCTAACCACCTCTCTATACTCCCGATTCAATCATACTTCGCCTAGACCCTCGCAGTAAATCGCTAATACATAATTTTAATCCAAAGTTAATTCATTACATAATTCAATAAATGATCACTACCTCTAATCTTGCTTCAAAGTACTTGTTATATTATTAACAAAATTTCGATGTAATACGTTAACAATCTTAAGATTCGTTCTATAAATATATTTCCATGTACCTTCACGTGCATTGATCAAGAATATTCTAAATTTTCTCTTTACTTTAAAGCAATATTTCTAGTGACTATTTGCACTGGTGACAAGTGATATTAATTTCGCGAATTACGATAACGCTATTACGGTATCGTGTTGTTTCAATGTTATTTTGATTGCATTTCGAGAAATTTGAACCCTTTGGGTATAAAATCAGGATATACGTATGGAATGCATGAACCTTTCATCATTTGCATGTCGCTTCAAAGCGCATTGCCTAATCAGCGTGGTTAATTGCAGTATGCGCTTTGCACGAAATACGCAATAGAAGCGTCCTATTTGGAATCCATTAAATGACTGTACTAGAAACGGACACAGAACTCCTTCAAAGGAATGTTTGTTCAATCATCATTACATTACTCGAGTCTTGCAGGATAATTCCCTATTTATGATATATCTTCGTATCGTGAACAAGCTTCAACAAAAGGATTGAATTGTGGTATCAAATCTCAATATCAAATATTCACTGTGCAAATATTTTCGATCTCTATTCGTTCTCAAATATTCCTATATATATCTGATGCATAAACGACATCAACATCGCGGCAACTATTCTCATAGAAACGGCGAAAAATTGTCATGCTTTTTCCCACGCGTTTTATTGTGTTTATTTTGAAAAATGTTTTATCCATACAGGATAGAAATAAATTTTAATTTGAGTAAGCGATTTCGAAAAACTTTTTCTAACGTCAATGTCGATCTTGTATTACACACCTTCGATATCTACAAGAGCGTAACGTGCCACGCGACACATGCGGTTTTACGTATAGCGGAAGTCTCGCGCATTGTTTGAGCACCGCCACTAATGCGTATGTAATTTGCACGAGGGGATAAATCTCTTCATCTGGCTCAATGCGGCGAACCGGTGCATCGATGCATTACTTTAATCCCCTCCTGGTATAAACAGACCAG